TCCAATGGAGAAATAAAATTCCATATACAATTTAACTGAAATGTAAAACCAAATAAATTTATAGATCCAGGAATATCTTTTAAAGATATACCGATTTGGGTGGAGACATCATTACTTGTGATTGGAAAATTAACAATAATGTCCAAATTTTCCAATTTCTCTGAAGTAAAGCTTATTGCAACATTTTTTTTTATTAACAATTTCTTGTAGCGGAGATTCTAATGCAATTGACAAGTTTGAAATGTTTTCATAAAAATGCTACTATCTACTGTAACGCACCCGTTCTGGCCGTACTAGAAATTACCAGCTTTAATGGCCACCCGGTAGATGTTGTATTTGGAACGCTTCGTTACTAACAGGACCGGCCTGTTTGAAACAATACCGCCGTGATTTGGTGTAAGAAGATTGTATTTGTGTTTCGTTTCCGGCTTGAAGCAGAAGTAAGTAGCCGCCGAAATTAATTAGCTGTTTGAGACTGTTCCAATATGTGAATTATTATTTTTGTAGCAGCCGAAAGCCCTCCTTGCGAAGAAGCTGAGGGATCAATAATATTGTTACCTTTCCGCACCGTTAATTAACTAATCAGCATTTTTAGTTTCCCTATAGTAAGTAAAACCAAGATTGGAACGGGTTTTGGCAGCGAGAATGACACGCTTTCTGCGGCGTGCCGCCGGAGATAACACACATCGCCGTGATAGATACCAGAGGCCAATTAGGCACAGGTGCTAATTGGAAATCGGAATTCTGAACTGCCACCGCGACCATTTAGGTAAGTGTAATTAATTTGCGACTAATTAAATGAGTTGCAGAAAACAGTAGCCGACTGCATCGAGTTTGATATCGTTGGATGCGCGCTTAATTCCTTAACCGATTGAGATGACGCTCAGATTTTTATGGCCCGGCTTCAGAATTAATTAAAAACGAATATTCTATTCTCAGTGTTATTTTGAATGGACTGGCGCGGGTTGGTAAAACCAAGTTCCCTTCCCGAAACGGCCGAAGTTTATAAAAGGTAAATGCTCATTGTAGAGGGAATCTTTTTGCTTTTTGGCGTTCATACAAAACGTGTCTGATTTTTTTAGTTTTCGCTCCGTTCTAAATTTCACCGCACCGTTTAATCTCGAATCTTTTGCTATTTTCCTAGCCGATTTAGTTTGGCACCGTTTAATTCCGAAGATAAGCTTTTGCATCCGTTAAATATCAAGGGGGGTTTTTATTTTGTTTTCCTGAATAGGTACCGTTTCCCGTAGCTACCGTTGTGAATTATTTGTGTTTCCGAAAGCGCTATCGTTAGTTCGCGTGGAACCCGTCCGGCCCCTGGAATACGCCGTTTCCAGTGGCAATTGTAATCGTCTACGATACCGCCGTCCTGCCCAATGGCAGGGTGCCGCATCCCTCTGGTGGCGCTCAAGGATCCCTACCGACACCGCCGATCAATCAGGAGTATCTTATTTATTTTGTTAATTATTATTCGTTTCCGACCATTAAATTTTCTTACTTATTTTATTCTAAGACATTGGTTTTTTTAAGTCACCGTTGCGTACGAACTGGCCCAAAGTTCGTCGCACTACTGTCACAGCAACCTCCTTTTCTGGTGGAGGGCCAAGATGTTTACTTATAACAGATTTCGAGCGCCCTCCAGAAATGAGGGAGTATAGTCTCCAAGGAAATGTGTATACATTAACATAATTAACATAGGTTAAGGAAGCAAATCTGTGGTACATAAACAGCATATAATTCTTACAATAAATATTATCAGTCAACATTCCGAACTGTCGGTAACGGAAACAAATTTCCGTCATTGGGGCGCCAAATACGATGTAAAACAAAGACGTGACCGACAGATATGACACATATGACAAATAAAGCTCGCTGAACTACAGTCGACAAAATAAATACTCGAACTTGACATAGCGAATTCTTTTAAACTTTGGAAATTATCCTTACGCATGTTTCAATGAACAATTTACGTAAAATAATTGCTCTCGTTACAATGATTTAGTCTTTACTAAGCATTTAGTGCTTAAGATTCTTTAAGAGCAGATAATTTAAAGGGGTGTCTCATTGGGTCCGTATCTAGGTCCGCATTTTAGATAGATTTTAGGGGTCTTTAAGATATTTTAAGGACCTTTAATGGATTTATTTGTTTGTTAGAGTATTTCACAGGCTTCATGAGCCACCAAAATGTTTCCATTTATTGTCTCCATAGCCTTTTAGTGATCTTTAGGGTCTTTACCATGCTTTTAACAGTCTTTGAAGACTTGAAGATATTCGTTTTGAAAAGTCTCTAAGAGTCTATAAACGCTTTTACAACCTTCCAAAAAAGGTTCCGTATGAATCGTCAACGGTTTTGAAGAGCCTGCAAGTGACTTCGGGAATTTCTTATAGGCCTTAATAGCGCTTAATTAGCTTATAACTGAGCCTTTTAGTACCTACGCCAATTTAAGGGCTTTCAAAAACGTTCTTTAGAAATATATTATTCTTTGAAGGATTTTAAGGACTTTAAGGGCTCACAAATGGTTAAAACAGGAATTTTGAATTTTAGTTTAGCACTTAAGATCCTCAAAGGGCTTTTATCAGGTATTTAAAGCTGTTCTGCTGGTTCAAATACGTGTTTTATTGTTCGAAGATTACAAATCAAAATCATACAATCCACATTCTCTTTCCACAAAAATAAAATAAATTGAACTGCGCAAGGCAAGGGAAAACCAAATAAATTTAAAGTTTTGTACATAGTCGGCCCCCTTGAAATATTTAACATAGGTAAGTATTTCAACTAAATATTATTCAAAACTTAACCAATTGTTGTCATTACTAAGTTGCCGCTACAAATGGCATCACAAAAAATATTAATGTACATACAGTCAACAATAAAAAAATGAAACATCAAGCTACTAACACTTGACGGCTCGTTAATTTGTTGGCAACACACACAATCGCACTGATGGTCGTTTTACTTCACCATGTGACGTCTTAATTGTTGCCGCACGCACAACGTTATCTGGACCAGGATGGACTTTCGTGACACGACCCAATTTCCAATGACGTGACGGAGCGTTGTCTTCTTGAAGAAGCACAAGTTGACCAACGGTAAGAGTCGTATCTCCTGGAATTTTTCATTTTTGACGCCTTTGGAGCTCTTGGACATAATCTCGACTCCACTTCTTCCAAAACTGCTGCCGCAACTGCTGAATACGTTGCCAACGAGACAGACGATTGGGCTTTTCTTCGCTTAAATCAAGTTCTGGTAAAGCACGCATGTGGTCACCAATTAAGAAATGACCCGGGGTGAGAAAGTCGAGATCATTAGGATCTGAGCTCATAGGAATTAACGGCCGAGAATTAAGAACACCTTCAATTTCGATAAGTAAAGTGTAAAATTCTATAAATTCCAAATTTGCGTGAGCCACGATTTTGTAAATGTGATTTTTAAAAGATTTTACCGCAGCTTCCCATAGACCACCAAAGTGAGGCGCTTTTGGTGGATTAAAATTTCACTTAACACGATATTGCAAAACTGCATCTGAAATTATTTCTGCGTTCTTTTCACTCTCTAAAAATTTATACAATTCCCGAAGCTCATTGCTTGTACCAACAAAATTGGTCGCATTATCGCAAAATATTTCTGCTGATAATCCTCGTCGCGAAATAAATCTTTTAAAGCAAGCAATAAATGCCTCGGTAGTTAAACTCTCTACCACCTCACAATGAACTGCCTTTGTTAGCATGCAAACAAATACACAACCGTACACCTTACAAGTACGTTTTGAGCGTCTACCACCCTCCTTTATAAGGAATGGCCCAAAATAATCCACCCCCACTTTAGCAAATGGACGATCAATTGCCAATCTACTTTTGGGTAAATCACCCATTTTGTAATTAAAAGGAATTGGTTTATTTGTAAAGCATACTACGCACTGTCTAAGAATTTTTTGAGTTACGCTTCTGCCATGTATCGGCCAATACCGTAGTCTAATTTGCGACAGTGTTGTTTGCACACCACCATGAAGTGCTTTGATGTGCTCATTTCGAATAACTAGGTTTGTGAATGCGTGCGATTTCGGCAATAATATTGGAAATTTTTTCGAGAACGCTAAGTCAGAATGACGTAACCTTCCTCCCACACGCAAAATATCGCCATCCAAAAACGGATTAAGCGATAAAATGGGCGAATTAGAGTTCAAATTTTTGGATTGTTTTAATAACCTAATTTCATCCCCAAAGGATTCTTCTTGTACCATTTTCACAAGCGTCGCTTCTGCTTCATTAATTTCCAATAGTAATAATTTACCTACCACTTTTTTCGATTTATCTCTGCAATTGTTTATAAAACGTTTGCAGAATGCGGTTACTCTTATAAGGGTTTCGAACGTAGAAAATTTATTAAAAATGAAATCTGAGAATTGTTGAAAGTTTATATTTTTGCATGCGACTAAAACCCTTGCTTCCATTGATATCTCATCGGGATAAAATATAGTAGGCGAGTAATTAGGGTCTAGTAAAAAATTAGGACCGCTCCACCATAATTTGCTACTGGACAACTGTTTCGGTAATAATCCACGGGAAATAATATCGGCAGGATTGTCTTGCGTAGGAACATGAACCCAATTATTGATGTTAGATTTAGATTGGATATCTGCAACTCTGTGAGCAACGAAAACCTTCCATCTACTTGGACAACCCTTTATCCAAGACAAAGTGATTGTTGAATCGCAATAATATATAACTCGTGCAAATTCTTTTCGCGATGAATTTAAAACCTTATCAACTAAATCAGTTAGTAGTAGAGCAGCGCATAGTTCTAATTTTGGCAAAGTTAAAGTTTTCAGCGGCGCTACACGTGATTTAGCGCATAGCAGTTGGCATCGTACCGAATTATCTACTAAAATTTCCCTGATATAGATACAGGCACCGTACGCCCTTACACTGGGGTCTGAAAATCCGTGTAATTCTAAACTGGAGGTAGGATCTGTTGCCACGCATCGCGTAATTTTTATTACCCCAATGGTAAGTAATTGACTTGAAATCTCCTCCCAACGATGCTTTAAATTTTGCGAGAGCTCCACATCCCAACCAATGCGTAATTTCCAAATGTCCTGCATAAGCAGCTTTGCCATAACCGTGACTGGACCTACAAGACCTAAGGGATCAAAGATTTGTGAGACGTTAGCTAAAATGAACCGTTTTGTTACGATTGATCTCGTAGAATTCATATGCGCATTATATTGGATCAGGTCTGAAGAAGGAGCCCAACCTACCCCTAATGTTTTTAAAGATTCATCGTGATTAAGGTTCAATATTAAATTTGTGACGTTAGTCATATGAAACCCATTTAAAACGTCTGGATTGTTTGACGCCCATTTGCGTAAATGAAATCCTGCTTCCGAAAGTATATGATTTACCTTATCACGGATAAAGACTAATTCTTGGGGGTTATCCGCCCCTGTGATAAGATCATCCATGTAAAAATCTTCCATGATAATTTTCTGAATTCGCGGTTGATCTTCAATTGCTAGAGCCAATTCTTTTAAACATCGCGTTGCAATAAATGATGCCGGTCGCGTCCCATAAGTTAATGTAAGTAATTCAAATGCCTTTATCGGCTCACTGTGCTCAAAACGATACAAAATTTGTTGAAATTTTGTGTCATCGGGATTAATCAATATCTGCCGATACATCTTGCTGATGTCTGCAGTTACAACGTATTTGTGGAATCGAAATCTAATTAAGATACTAAATAAATCGCTTTGGATTACCGGGCCAGTCATTAAAAGATCATTTTAACGAGACGCCCGTAGACGTTTTTGAAGACGCGTCGAAAACAACCCTTGTTTTCGTGGTTAAACTATCGGCTTTATGGACTGCGTGGTGTGGCAAAAAATAACCAAAACCATTCGCGTTTTCAATGTTCCCATTTCGCGCATATGACCTAATTGCAAATACTCACACAAAAACTTATCGTACTCTAATTTTTCCTCGTTGTGATTTAGTAACCTGCGCTCTAAATTTAGAAAACGTTTTTTAGCAATTTCTAGCGAATGCCCTAACAACTTTGGGTTCGTCGTCCAAGGGAGCGACGCTACAAATCTACCACTGGAATCACGAGTAATTGTTTTTTGAAAATGCGTTTCACATCTTTGTTCTTCGAAGGACCTTATTTGAATATTAGGAACTCTTTCAACTTCCCAAAATGCCGAGATCTTTTCGTTTAACTCTTGCAACGTAGTTAAATTACACGAGGCTAATTTATTTGGCCTAGGAGCTGATATGCTACCTGAAATTATCCAACCGAAAACTGTTTCTTTTAGTATTAATCCTTTTGGCTGTGCGTGAATTATCCCATCTAAAAGTAAACTGTAAAATATTTCCGCCCCTATAAGTAGATCTATTTCACCGCCCATATTGTAATCAGGATCCGCGAGGAAAGTGTTTTGAGGTAAATTTACGTTAATCTTATTGAACAAATTCGTGGGTAAATAACTCCTGATATAATCTAACACATACAAATTTAAATTGATAGAGAAATTGCCATATTTTGACCTAATTTGTGACGTTGTGATATGATTACATTTTGTAAACTTGTTGCAAACGCCTGTTATAGATAGCTCAACTGTATTTGATATTAATCCCAACCTTTTGCACAATTTCGTGGATATAATATTAATTTGAGATCCAGAATCCAGTATTGCACGTGCATCTATAAAAACCCCGTCATTACCTTTGATCTGTAGTAAGCATGTTGATAAAACCACGTTTGAAGGTACATGCGTTAAATTAGATAAATGCAAGGAAGAAGATTCAACGGTTACATTTACAGCCGCTGGCTGGTTACTAGATTGGCCTTCTGAATGTCCTATGTTAGGGTTTATGTGCAAAATGGTATTGTGAGCACCATTGCATTTTTTGCATCGGGAAGATTTACACTCTCTTGATTTGTGACCTACCCTTAAACAGTTTATACATAAATTTCTTTCTTTAACCTTCAAAATACGATTGTTCACAGGTAAATCCAACAAAATTGGACACTGACTGGCAAAATGATCAGCTCTCTTGCAAATGTTACAGTAAATGTTTGTATTGAGAATACAGTTCGCACTATTCGAGAAACGCTTGATATTATGAGAGGCAATTTGTTTATTTGGATGAAAAGTAACTTCATTTGCGTGTATTGTTTCTAAAGTGTGACATTTTTGCAGCAAAAAATCCGTTAGTAATAATTGTAAAGTAGGCAATTCGGAAACCTTACCCTTATCTTCCCATTCCTTACGTGTCGAAAATGGAAATTTTGATGTGATTAAATAAATCAGAAAGTCATCGTAACCTTCTACCGGGCGACCCATTGCTTTTAACGCACGTGTGTGCTGCAAAATGGAATCGAGCATGTTGCGAAAATTATCGTGCGATTCTCTTGTAACTACAGGCAATTCAAAAAGAGCTTTAATGTGATTACTGATAATGACGCGTTTATTTTCATATCTACTTTTTAGTAAATCTTTGGCTTGATCATAATTAGTCTCAGATGTTTCCAAACATTTTATGACGGCTGCTGCTTCGCCAATTACAGCACCTTTTAAATATTGAAATTTTTCAATTGTTGTTAGTGACTTATTCGAATCGATTAGAGAGTGAAAGGAGTCGCGGAAACTTAACCATTCTTCGTATTTTCCCGAGAATGATGTTAAATTAATACGAGGCAAGCGTGCCAATTTGCGTTCGATAGGAGAAGTGTCCGTAATTGTGGACGGATTATCTTTGCCAAATTTTGAAATAACTTTAGTCTTTAAGACGCCGAAAAATGTATCCGTCTCGGACTTTTCTGAAAAAAACTCATCAAACAAATCGTCATGGTCAGCATCGAATATGCTTTCCAAAAATGATTCAAAAGAATCAATAGCTCTTTCGCAAACTTCGAATTGTTTCTGAACCTTATTCTTACAACTGTCAGAATCTGGTTCGTCTAAATAATTTTGCAAAATGGTAAGTTGTTTTTTTAAATAGGAGCGTTTGTTTTTTAATCGCTGCAAATCTTCAATTAGAGTTGCGCTTAGCTCCAAACTTGAAACTGAAAGTTGTTCTTTTTTATTCGGCATGGTAAAGACAGGTACGTGTGATAAGGAAATAATAATGTAAAAAAAGGAATGATCTGACCTTATGTTGATGCGTATTCGATGGTGTTACTGCTAGTGATGAAGTAAACTCTTGCAACTTCCTAATCACTCGTGAAGAATAAGCCTGGGACTTATCGTGCTGTTGGATAGAACTTCTGGTGATAACGAGACGAGGACGAAATGTTTTGTTGGCCGGTATCTTCGTAGTGGCCTTGCGTGACTGCAACACCTGGACGGCTATTTTGATGCGAGGAACTAAACAATATACGAGCAAGAGCTAGAACGAGAAATACACTTCGCGTAATGATTATCCAAATACTTCGCGTAATGATTAACGCTTATTACAATTGTAATAAGTAATACAAATCCGGCTCGTTAGGATCATGTTTTGCTGGTTCAAATACGTGTTTATTGTTCAACGATTACAAATCAAAATCATACAATCCACATTCTCTTTCCACAAAAATAAAATAAATTGAACTGCGCAAGGCAAGGGAAAACCAAATAAATTTAAAGTTTTGTACAAAAGCCTTTAAAAGTCGTCTGTATACGCAAAGAGTCTTATGAACCTCTAGATATTATGCCTTTTACACAAAATCGTCCTGAAACCTTCATTTTCATGCCTACGTTCTGTCAGGAAATTTTAGTTTCCATGACAGAGGCAGAACAGACTACGTTTCCTGCCGCTTGTCACTTTACCGGCCGCATTTATGACATTTCTAATGTCTATAATGACTCATGTCATCACTGACAGATTGACATTAATTATAAGTTTTATATATAATTGAAATCTTATATTAAAATACGATTTCGGGTAAAATTTACTACAAAACTCGTTAGGAAAATGACACATTACTTGACTCGGAAATTAAAGTACTCGGCTCCAAAAGGCCTCGCCCTTCAATATCTCCTCGTCAGTAATGTGTCATTTTCTTGACTTTTATGTAAATAACTATTACTCGGTTTTCAGTGTTTAAAGAGACTGAAAAGTACGAGGCTTCATAAGGCTTTAAGGGAAATAAGAACCAGTTACAGATAGTCTTTAAGTAGTCCAAGAATTTTTGAGAGTCTCTAGGGGCCTTCTATTTTTTAAGTCTTCAATAAACCTTAAAACTAGTAATTTTTCAAGTGTCTTCCAAGGGTTTCCAAGAGCCTTCATGAATATTTCTTTTTTTAAATCCTTCTGATATTACCAATTTTTAAATGCGTTTCATTTTTTTAATTTGGCATGTGGCGTAACAGCAACGATTATTAGGCCCTAATGGAAATGTTTGTGGGCTTACATTGTATGACGTTTACGTTTCCTTAGGTTGCCAGGGACGTAACTCAAACAAGAGTTCTACAATGGGAATATTTTGGGTTTTGCAATAGAGTCGAATTAATTTGGCGAAAGAGTTTAGAATTATTCAATTATCAGTGGGGTACTGTAAAGGGAGACCTTAGGTACGCGTTTGAGAGAACATTTAATGGTTTGTTGTTCTGGTAAGACGGTTGGCACAATAACTCGAAACCTACAAACGGCAATTAACATCATTTGTCATAACGCCAATGCTGTCGGGTACGTGCTGTCGGAGGAGAAGACAAAGGTTGTTCACTTTTGTCGACTCCGTAAGCCCCACTATGACCCCGTTTTGTTTATGAACAATCGTATAATCAGTGTTGTCCAAGAAGTCAAGTTCCTCGGACTTACCTTTGATAGGGGATTACGATGGTCAAAGCATTTGGAGAATGTTGCGGCTACATGTAGAAAATCGCTGAACATTATGAGAGTTCTAGCTCATCATAGGTGGGGAGCTCACCCTAAGACCCTCCTAGATATTTATAAGGCCCTCATCCTGTCAAGGATGGATTATGGATGTGCAGCGTACTCTACATGTGGCAGTAATACTTTGATTGAGAAACTTGACAAGATTCAGAACCTGGCCATTCGCTACTCTTTGGGAGCATATCCAACAAGTCCGGTAACATCGCTCCACGTCGAGGCAAATATTCCCCCTCTAGCTCTACGCCGGAAACAGATTGTTGCAAACTATTATATAAAAGTAAGGATAGATGATAAACATCCAAATTTTATATCACTTACTGATGCAACTACAATTGCTCGGCTAAATAGATGTAGATCGTTAGGTGTTAGAGCTAGAGAGGTATTAAACTATCTCCAACTGGATAACGTTGACTTTACGAATATGTCATCTATTGCACGACGTGAACTTGTGAAGACGAAAATTTATGAGCGGTGGAGTGAACAGAGGTCGGAGACTGATACGGCTTTGAAGAAGATCAAACAGAGTCTGGATCCGCTATTTTATATCGACGTTGGGCGTTTGAACTTGATCAGGCTGTACAGACTCCGGCTGGGGCATACTGCCCTCACTCATGGATATTTGTTGGCGGGCGAAGAACGGCCACTATGCGAACAATGTGGTGTTATTTTAACACCACATCATATTATTTCTGTCTGTCCGCAGTACACAGATGTACGTGTGCTCTTTAATATCGACCCTGCATGGGAAAATAACTTTAAAAACAAAGAGCAATGTAAAAATACTCTTGCCTTCATCCAAAGAATTGGTATAGCAAATGATCTATGATATTTTTAAATTGTTGGTTTTGTATGTTAATAAATGTAACTAGATCCGTTTCTGTCCCATTGTACTTATATAGTCATCTTTTTCTGTGTAAAAGTATGTATAAAGGCGAATGGCCCTAGAAGCCGAAGCCTCAGGTGGGGTTTTAGTGGGTGAGAGTCCCACACTACTCCGGACTTTTCCATCCGGAGTGTGCATAATGCATTTCCCCACCTGACACAAAAAAAAAAAAAAAAGGCGATAAATTTACGTTTTTAGCATCCCTAATTGTTGTATGTTATAATAATAATAATAATAATAATAATTTTTATTTCATTAGGTTTTCCAATAATTTACAAAAAAGATAAGAAAACAAAACATTTGTATTGTACACTTAATGAAATAAGGATTCAAGCTCAGACAACTGACTCAAAGCCAGAATACTGTTCTTCCGCATGAACCTGATTGTAAAATGTTGCAGTAGAGTTGTGATTTTAAAATAGAGAGATTTTCTTATTATTTACCAAGCAAAATAGGGCGTTTACAAAAGTACAGATACTATGTATGTATCACGGAAGCGTTAGAATACTTTTGGGTTTGATATGTTATGTGCTGACTGTCAATTGTTACACATACTAATCGTCGATCAATAGCCGTTCTCTAATTTTTGATTTTAACGTATGACATGACATAGTGAGATCATTGATATGAAAATGATTTACCCATTTCGCAATGTTGTAGGAGAACGATCGTTTGAAAATTGACTTGTAGTGGCGGGGAATTGTGATAAGATCTTTCCTTCGAATATTTATATTATGGATATCGGTTCTAAATGTTACTTTGTTGGCAAGGTAAGGAGGAGTTTTATACTTTAAGATTTTATAATAAAAGCATGTCATATGTAGAACTCTTCTGTCAAACATTGTCAACCATTGAACTATTATTCGTTTATGGGATATATGCCTTCCTCGTCGCACACCAAACATCAAACGTAAGCAGGAGTTTTGAACCTTCTGCAGTCTTTTAATGTCAAACACGGTTAAGCAAGGAGCATATAATACATCACCGTAATTAAGATGCGATAGTACTAGTGACTCACATAAAATTTTCTTGAGGTTTTGTCCAAGAATGTGACGATGTCAGTAAATTAGCTTGAGAGCACTGTAACTCTTTTGCAGCATATGGGTTACGTAACTCGTGAATCTAAGTTTGTGATCTATAATGATACCCAAACTGTTTACTTTATCGGTAAAAGTTAACCTAGCACCACCCAATATTAACTGCAAATTATTCATAGCGTTAGTCCTATTGCGCTCGGAACCAAATACTATGGCCATTGATTTTTTAGGGTTTATTTGAAGGCCGTGATCATTTGATATTGAAAGCAAACTTTCCAGATCTTCATTAATAAATGTGTTTACATCTGCCATTTGATTAGGAGAAAAAGAAGTCAGTAGTTGCGTGTCGTCAGCAAAAAAGTGACTTTTGCAAAAACGAATTACCTTATGAAACTGGGAGGTATAAACTGTGTAAAGCAGCGGCCCTAATATAGATCCTTGTGGAACTCCTCTAGTAAGTGCCAGGGATTGTGATGTTTTTCCGTCTATAAATACCCTTTGACTTCTATCTGATGTAAATGATTCTAGAAGCAGCCGATCCTTTTGGCTAAACCCGATGTAGTGTAATATTGCAACTAAGAGAGGATGACTAATCATGTCGAAGGCCTTGGAATAGTCAAGCAAAATTAAAACTGAAATCTTATTTTGGTCTACAGCAGCCATAATGTCATCAGTAATATCAGCTAGGGTTGTAATACAGCTGTATCCTTTTCTAAACCCCGATTGAGTTGGGAGTATAATCTCCTGCTTATCAAGATATGCTCTTATTTGCAATTCCATTATCTTTTCCAAAACTTTCGACATGACCGGCAAGATACTAATACACCGTAGATGGCTATATTCTGTCGGCGAATTGATTTTTGGCAAGGGAATAACTTTTGCTTGTTTCCATTCACGAGGAAAGTATGAATTTTGCAAACATTCATTAACTATATGTGTTATATATTTGATAATATAAGGACAGCAATATAAAACAAGATCTATATTTAAACCGTCGGTACCAAATGCTTTTGTTTTTATTTT